CCCGTACACACAGCTCTGCTCATACCTATTTCAGTATAGTATATTTGCCAAGGTAGCTACTGTTGACTGGAGCTTGTTTTGCATTCTCTGGACCACAAGGGGGCTGCCTCCTGCTGCTAATATGTATACATCAATAATGTACATTATTTTCGACTGGGAACCTCAGCCAAAAGGTTAGAAACATCTAAGCTAGAAACATCTAATCTTGGAAAAGCCTTTTCAAGTTTGAATGTATTCAGAAACTTCTCGTTTGTTTGTATCTAATTTTGAATTCAGGCTTTGTTTCTAAAACTAGATTATTTATGGCTGCAACCTTTATCCTGCAGGGAGCAAAGAGCTAACAAAAAAGGTCGTGACAGAGCTTATGTGTTGGTCTGAAACCATGTCACCCTTGAGCTGTGATCTTATTCGATTTCACAAGCTGAGTAGGATCAGTGCTGAATAGAACATGGATGAGGAATCATCAAAGAAAACTCAGCAGTTACAATCAGTGGAGGGAGTGATTTGGTAATGAACCAACAATTCTCTTTGTAGGTGTAAGAGGGGCTAGATTCTCAATTGATAGAATTCAGCATAAATCCTTTGCGATGTGAATTTATATCAGCTGAGAGTCCTTTGTAAGAGAGGTTCATTATATTGGATACATTCTTTTTTGGGTAATTACATTCTGTCTACCTAAATCCTCGCTGTAGTTTCAGTTGATATAAGATCAAATTCCCCACTTCCTGTCCTAAATACTCTGTGCAGTTGGAAACCTGCTGTGTTTGTAAGTGGTGGATTTAATGCTAAATGACCTGTACCTGACTTGAGCTTCTATTGACTTCCGTGAGGTGGGATCAGGACCATGCAGAATAACTACTACCGGTGAAAAACTTAAAGAACAACAAATAGTCTAGTAGCACTTTAAAGACTAACAAAACATGTAGATGGTATCATGAGCTTTCGTGGGCCACTTTTTGAAAGAAGTGGGTTGTGCCCACAAAAGCTCATGATACTATCTACATGTTTTGTTAGTCTATAAAGTGCTACTAGACTATTTGTTGTTCTTTAAGGTTTTCCTGTTACAGACTAACTCAGCTACCCTTCTGAAGTTTTTGAACAGGCAAGGTACTACTGGGGATACACATTTAGTCAATACTTTACAAAATACAAACAAAAAAATTAAAAACAAACAAAACGTTAAATGTAAACAAAAGTGTACAACAAAATCAAACATACTAAAGGCTCAGTTTGGCAATACTTACTTCACATTTACTCCAAGGGTAGTTTTACCTTAGGATGTGCTGGAGAACAAACATTAGAGCTTGTCTACGCAATTAGACCATGGCAAGATGGGGTGTAAATCTATCCTGTTCTGGCCTACTGTGGCCTAACTGCCCATAGTGCTCCCTAATGAGATGTGTTAATAGTTCATTAATGATCTTTGAGTTAGGTCACTCCTGTTTCAAAGATGACTAAATCAAGGCACTTGAAAGAACTGTTGATATGCCTCAGGGGGGTGCATATGGACTATCAAAGCATGTCTGGCTAGTTCAAGATACACCCTGGCTTTTAGGGGTTTAATTGTTTTGTAGAGTTAGTTTATTAACATATCAGACAGCTATGCCACACTGGAGCTTTACCAGTCAAAAGTGGAAGAGAGAAAAAAATGCACACCATCATGCCATAAAAGTCCTTGCTTTTATATATTTTCCTATGATTTCTCCTGTAAGGAATTGCTAACTGTTCTGGACAGCCAATGTGTGTGCTGGACAGGCCATGCCTTTTCATCTCATTAAAATAATGCTCTTAACTACAGAAGCCAAAGAGTCCCACCTAGAGGTAATGAAGTGGGATGGAGGGCTAGGATTTCTTAATCCAAAAATGAATACTTTAGGCAGATAATGGGGGATACTTTAGATCTGCAGCAAAATTTCCTTCACCAGCAGACAAAAAGAAATCATACAACATATCTTAATACTTCAAATATAGTTGCTACCACTAGCCTGACTCAGTCATACAGTAATATCTATTAAAATAATATTTTTGAAGCAGATATTTTGATGCTTTCCTAATGTGGACCACATAGAATCATAGAAGTGAAGCGCTGGGAGGCACCTCAGCAGGTCATCTATTCCAGTACGCTGCACTCTAGTAAGTAAAACTAGATCAATACTCACGGATATTTGTCTAAACAGTTCTTACCGTTCTTGATCAGATATCACTAAGGCTATGTCTATACTATTGGATTTTTTCGGAAAAAGGTACGCAAATAGCGAACCGCAATTTGCATACCTTTTAGGTGAAGTCCATCCTGAGAGAACAGTCCTCTGTCCATAAATGCCTCCCAGTGACCATACATTCCAAAGCCCTCCTTATAGCATCACTGCCTAAGCCATCTATTGATCATCATAATGCTGTCACATCTTAGTTGCCCTTCTCTAGGAACAGGCAGAATCCCACTAAAGATCACCTGAGCCTCAATTTCCTTGAGCATCCTCCCCAGCCTAGCATAGTCTCCCTTAATTCGTTCCAGCGACAATCTAGCCGTATCATTTGTTCCTACATG